TTCAATAGGGTTGCCTCCAAATAACCATCAGATTCAGATTCAAAATACAAATTTGATTTCTCTCCTACAAATCCAACGATGTAGAATCGTCAGCCACGTTGTTCCAATTACTTCAATAATTTCTCTCTAATAAGTGATTCGAAAATTATCTTTTTTACTATTATGCCCCCGCGTCGTGGAAGAGAGAGAAGAAAATAGGGGTAGATGTGAGTGAAAGCTTGGTATAATCAAATATTCACTTATGGGATGGTAGAAAGATGAGGAAGATATGATAATGAATAACACTTTCATATCTTTCTTTTCCAACGTTGCTTTCAGTTTTTTCAGTAGATGGGTGGGAAGTGGGCTCATTAGTCACTACTTTTTGCCCTTTTTCTTTTTAAAATTCTTTGTTTGGTCACTGAGAAAAGTAATTTCTGCCAAAATTTCCCACCCATTTGACTTTTTCTAGGAAAAAGAAGCAATAAAGCTCTACCCAACAAAATTCAGGTTGAAAATTTGAAATTCCTATGCACAACAATTTGTTTTCCTATATCAAATGATGCCCCCACTGTAGGGAAAGAATTTCCACTTCGGTTGAAATCTTATTTTGTTCGCTTAGTTCGTGTCTATTTTGATCTATCTACTTTCGAAACTTCTATTTTGATTCATATATTTTCTATCTTTTTTTTTATTTTGATCAATTTTTATGTTCGTTTTATTTAATGTACTTTTGAAAACTTTGGTTCTTGTTTATAAAACTCTAATATAAATTTTATGAATAATGTTTGATTACAAAAATGATCAACTCCGGGCAGCTCATACTTGAATAAGGCTGACAAATGATGGAACCTGCACATAGAAAGTAAACAACGCCGATGCTCAAGTCAATCTTGGTCTAATCTATACTCAGTGTGAGGATAGTTTCGTGTATTGAATAATGAGGTGGAACTCTTTATTTATAGAGGTTGAGCTTCCGACAGCAGTTGAGGAACAGTTACGTTAATCCCACAAATCACAGCGCCTTGTTGGAGAAACAGTTTTTGTTTGCGACAAATAGAATAATGATCCTCAACTCGTTCTTTACGAGGGTGAGCTATTGAGATCTATGGATTTGGAGCGATTTACTTTATATCTTCATGGATTTATCTTCGGACTGCGTCATTATGATGACTTCGAGCATTACGACATAAGAATTGTTGACACGTGTGGCTGATGGGAATTCACCTCCAATAAACAACGAAAACTCTTAACAACTATGAAAATGTTTCATAAAATTATGAACCAAAATAGTGATTTCAAAAATACAATAATCAAAATAGACGAAAGTTAAATAGATGTCTTGAAAGTATAATGACAAAATGCACGAATGCTAAAAGTATAGGAACAAAACTCAAAATTTTGAATTTTGATTTAAACTATATTTTGGACGACATAGGTTTAAATTTTATTTTAGTTTATGAATTTTTAAAATAATTTGGTTTGGACTCTTGAACTTTCAAAAGGTTTGCTTAGTCCATTTACTTAAAAAAAAAGATCATTTTAGTTTTTTACGTTAGTTTGCCATTAGCTTTTTTTTAAAAGATAGATATCATGTCAGTCTTTAAATATGTATATTAAGATATAAACATGTACATGTATTGAAATCACATCATATTAAGATGAGTGTCGGTGACAGATACTAGGTGGGGCAAGCATTGAATTTCAAAAATGAGTCAATTCTTGCTAAAAAAAAAATTCTACTACAATAGGGTTGATATTCTACTACTGCAAGACGAGGAAAATGAGAGTATGTTAATAGCGAAACAATGACGAAGATCAAAATGATATATATTTCTTTTATTATTAAAATAGACACTTCGAAAGTTTGACGAGTAATATTTGATTCACAGTTTTGTTAGGTTTATTAAGCCAAAGTTTATTAATTATGAGGTTGCTAAGTAGATTATGCCAAAAAAAAAAAAAGTTTGACATAAAATTATAAAATATAGAATATTATCCATGCGTACAAAACTATATGTATAATAATTAAAAATAATATTACCAGCCCGTCAAGTGGCATCTCTGTATGCCTTCCATTGAGAGAGAGTCAGACAAATAAATTTTTAAAACTCAAATTACTATATAATATAACGATTAGAAACGTGGCAAATTTTAATCGGTAACTTTTTTTTTTATGGAACTGTCTTTCATGTTATTAATGTAATCGTCGTAAGTCGATTTGTAATATTATAATACATAGTAATGATTAATGAACTAAGGAGAAAAAAAATATAAATAGATATATATATCGAAATGAAGTCTAATTATTATTTCTTTTTATGCAATTAATAATGGAGATTAAAGCAGACCAACGAGAAAAAAAAGGAAAAAGGAAAATACAATTAGGAAAAGCTACAACTAATTAATTAGTAGGCTAGAGGTTTTTAATGGATTTTTTTTTTAATAATGTTAATTTTAAAAGTATTTACCAAAATATGCCACTCGTCAAACTATTTACCAAAATAATGCTTTGAAATTCATAGACGACCAACAAATGTGGCGCTGGGCGCCACGTAATTTTTTTTTCTAAAATAACGCTTGGTCGTCTCGTCAGTCCGCTTTTTAAACAGCGTGGCAGGCCACGCTGTTTTCTTTTTTTCTTTTTTTAAATTACTCAACATGTCGTCTCTTGGGCGGGATTTTTTGAAATCCCGCTTGGTCGTCTCTCATGGGCGCCACCTGGCACCTTGGTCGTCTCTTGGAGGGACGACCTAAGTTAGGGGTTTTATTTTAAAACCTCTAACTTATCTGCCCCACCACCCCACCATTCTCTCTCTCCCCCAAATCACCGCCAACATCTAGTCACCGTCGCCGGTCACCGCTCCGTCCAGTCGCCGCCACCGATCACTGCTCCGTCCAGCCGCCTCTTTGTTGCAGTATGGTATTAACAAACTTTTAAATATAAATAAATATAGCAATTAAGAAAGAGACGACCAAAGTATTAAAAAAAAATTGACCAAAGTATTAAAAAAAAATTAGAACCTCACATGTCGTCTCTTCAAGAGATGACATGTTAGGTTATAAAAAAAAGAAGAAAAAAAAAGACATGGTCGTCTCTTCAGAGACGACCATGATTAATTTAAAAAAGAAATTAACGTGGCGCTGACGTCAGTTGATCGTCTTGAATAGACGACCTATGAATTTCAAAGCATTATTTTGATAAATAGTTTGACGAGTGGCATATTTCGATAAATACTTTTAAAATTAACATTATTAAAAAAAATCCAATTTTTAATACCGCCATAACTAAAAGTAGTTAGTTAAAGCGGAAAAATGGGAAAAGAAAAAGTAAATCATACGCATTGTTGAGAGGAGAGGGCAAAAAAAAAAGTTCTTTTTTAAGTCACATCCAAACCACCAAAATATGGTGTCAAAGCATTGGCAATATTCTCAATAATCACATATTCTAGCCTAATTATTCTAAATATTCCTCCTTGGAAAATTTCTATAGTAGGCTTTCTGCAGTAGACTTGATTTTTTATTAGTTCGAGAGAAACAATAAAATTTTTAGAGGGTTTAAAGATCTAAACAAAATACTTTAGGGTCAGGTTGTTTGCGGGTTGGGTTGGGTCAGATTAGGGGAATTTTTTGGACAAACTCGAAATTTGGGTTGGACAAAATAGAGAACCGACAGAACCAAATAAGAAAGTCAAACCAACCCAACCCAAACCTAATATTTTCTGGTTGAGTCGCCGGGTTGAGATGAGAGAGGCAAGGAAATCAGACAAAAGAGGATTCAATCAAAATTCTAAACGTCGTAACTTACAAAAATTGATTGTTCATCGTCACGCCTCAACATTATTATCGAAAGAAGAGGATGGAAAGGAGGGACAAAGGATGGAGGGGGAAGGGGGCTATTTATTTATTTTTTTTAATTTAGTATTGAGTTTGGTCCGGGTTAGGTTGAACCGACTATTTCCTTTTCTAAATCGAGAACCGAACCGAATTTTTGGTTCTACAAAAAACCAACCCACTCCGAACCAAAAATTTTTTCAACCTAAACCAACATGGATTGTTAAGTCTTTTTTAAAACTACAAAGACCAAACTAGACGTTTTGAATCTATATCAAATTAAACTAATGCCAAAAGTACGAGAGCCATTTAAACCTTAGATTTAATACTTCATCAATTTGTAAAGTTTATTTTTTTAAATTACCAATTACGTT